CACACTTGGGCTAGAGCAGCCAACACACTTTCTCTCATTTGTCATTGTCTCCATTCAGACTGATGGGTGTGCCTTAACTGTAAGGAATGCTGGGTACCATTTAGAAGTTTGTTCAAAAATAACTTAAAAAAAACTTAAGAAACAAGGGTTAGGTTGGATCTAAGACTTCCATATATACATCTTTTGTAAATAAGATTTTCGTAGGGAAAGACCATCATTAACTGTATTTCCCTTTAAAGCGGCAGCTCTGGTTTGTACCTGAGTACACGAGTGGCCAACATCTGAACAAATCCGAATATAATCACAGATAATGCTTTTCTTTCAAAAAGGCCTAAAAGCCATTTTTCCCAGTGGTCAGCGCTTGGCAGTTGAAGCAAATTGCAGATGGACGTTGTTCTGTGCCCATTTGTCTTCCGTCTTCTTTGGAGGAAGTAGAGTGCTGCTGCTAGGAGCCAAACTGTCTCTTTTTGTTATGAAAAGTTTTTTTAATAATTAAATATTTAAATGCCATATTCCTCAGATCTCTGAGCAGTTGAGGGCTGTCTATCAGGTAAAACTACAGTATAGAATCTGCCTGAAGAGCTGGATCTGAGCTTGACTGTACTGGCTCTCAACTTAACAAGTAAGATTTACACTTGTAAAAAGACAGAAAGAAGAAAAAATTGCTTGCAATAGACCAGGCCCAGCCGCCTACAGAGACCTGAAGTGTGGTTTCCTGCACCATCCCTGCCTGGGACTGGCTGCTCTGGGGCCCGCTGCCTGCCCCTGCTCGGGGACCTTTGGCATGGTCTCATGGCCGGCTGCTGCTGCAGCCACTCGGGGAGCAGCAACATTTTTTTATTTAATCTATTACATTAGTCTCTTCCTTTTCCGTCTCTTTCTCGAAGAGGCAGCTTCTGCCTCTCTCCATTGTCTCCCCCCCCCCCTTCTATCCTTCCTTCCCCCTCCATAACCCACTAAATAAATATCCAATCTCACTTTGCATGGCGTGCCTATCCATGTCTCTGTCTTTTGCTCAACACGCCTGTCTCCCTGCCTGGGACCAGCATACCACTTGGGGACCTGCAACCGTCCCTGCCTGGGATTGGCTGCTCTCGGGACTCCCTGCCCACTGTCCACTGCCACACGGCCTGTGGCCACACAGGATCTGCAGCATTTTTAGTTAGTCCATTTCAGCATTAGCGTTCTCAAAGGCTGGTTGTTTAACTATCAAAATTCCTGCTTCTGTATCTCCAGTCACCGTTTTTGATGTCTCCGTCAGTCTGGAGACAAAGTCTTGCAATAATTCGTCAGGTCCCTGTCTTAGACTGGACAATGCCTCAGCCTAATCTTCAAAAGATGGGCGTCTATTCCAGGTCATCCTAGCAGCTGCATTTATTTGGGCTTATGCTGCCATATCAAAGTCTGACTGCTGATTCTGTCCCTGTATATGGTCCCTCACCTACAAGCATTTCATAGGACATAGGAACTTGTTGGGCCCTGTTTCTCCCAGGAGTGGCCTGAGGTTGTTCTGCAAACTCAGTTTTCCACAACAGATAATCTGCTCCTGATAGGCAAGCTTTGGTCAACAGCTTCCAATCCCCTGGGGGCAAAGCTGTGCTGTGGCCCTCAGCTATCTGTTAGACTTGGAACCAGAGAAAACAGCTCAGCTTGCAATGTGCAGTTGAAGCTGGGAGCAGGGCTCTCTCCGCCTTTCTCTCTGGGATCTTGGGACCAGGAGGTGCGGGTCACTCATTGCTGCTGTACCTGGGTGGGGTACATGGTCAGCGATCCCACCACGACCTTGAACAGATGGCAAATTTAGCTCAGGTTCCCAGGTACCCGCCATTGCAGCGGCTTCGAGACGGCCATGTCCACAAACTTAGGCCGGTATAGCCACGCCGATTTTTATTATTCTTGTTTTTTTATTTTAAATCTTGTAATCATAAAATCAAGAGAATTCCTGAATCTTCTTCTCTGTTAAAAGCTTAGATTTACTCATATGGTCTCCTTGGTTCATGGGCCAAGTAGCCTCTAGTCATTTCTTGTTGACTGGCTCCAAGGGCTGACTGTGTGGGAGACAAAGTCCTCCAAGCTCTTCTGTCTTCTGCCTTTCCTGGCTCCGCAGCACAGGGTGAGCAGGTTCAGCTGGCCACAGCGCATGTGTGTGAGGCTACACTCTGAGCGGAAACCAGAACACTGCTGGGCTGCAGACTGCACTCATTTCTTTCTTCCCACCCGCTCAGCAGTGGCAGAGGCTGCGGTTCGGTGACCATAGCATTATACACACTTGTATGTAGACTCTTTGTTCTAGAAGAAGGCATGCACACTATATCTTTGATCATGTTGGGATATTAAGCACATTCTATTCACTCCTGTATATAATTGGTGTATTGTGTAGTTGTGTATATAGACACACATGTGTAGTTGCATGGATACATGTGAGCATGCAGCAGACAGGTGGATGTCTGGTGTCTTCCCTCAATGTCTCTCCACTTTATTTTTTGTTCGTTTTGTGAGACAATGCCTCTCACTGACCCTTATCTGTGATTGTGTATGTTCCAGTCAGCTATCCTGGCTGTCCAGGGACTTCAGGGGATCCACCTGTCTACCTCTCCAGTGCGGAGGTTGTATGGGTGTTCCACTACGCTCGGCTTTTTACACAGGCGCTGGGGGGCTGAACTCCCACCCTTATACAACAAGCACATAACTAACTAAGCCATCTCCCTGAACCCCAAATAGAGCACTCTTACTTTGTGAAGAAGAAAGAGGTCAGACTCTCACCAAACATCTGTTTTGTTTGTCACAGCTGCTCTGTTGGAAGGGTAAAGCAGAGCAGCTCACCGTGCAACCCCAGGCTTGCTTGCTTCCTTTGACTTGCCCTTGCCAATCATCCTTCCTATTTTCCCTTAACTAACTCCAGTGTTTGAGGAAGGCATTTTTATCATCATGAACTCAGTATGGATGATCCATTTTGCAAACCGTCACCGATTCAGTATTTTGTGGTTGTACCTTTTGATTTCTTTAACTGATATGAGTGACAATGCTATTGAATTTTTCTGAAATTATTCAAATTCATCAGTATCCAAACAATACTGAAAAGAAGTTTTTTGGGGATGGTGAGTGGTAGGTGTGTTTGGGATTAAAATAACAATAATAATAATTAATAATGCTGACACCAAGGCATTATCTTGTAAAGTAAAAGTAGTTTGCTGTGGTAAGAATACAGCCAAATTTCAGGATGCATATATATTAAGATAATGAACGAAAACAAGTTCATTTCTTTGACTAAGTCAGCTGCTACTCTCTTCTGAATTCTAATCCTCAGTCACAGTGTGTTGGGCTTATATATTAAAAAAAAAAGTCAGTTTTAGTTGCTTCTCAAAGGTTGGAATTCCAGCAGTCCATTTCCTCTACGGTACACATTTATTCACTGGAGATCAGGAATAAGAAGAGCTGTTTTATCCTATTAGGGTACACTGCGATGGAAATAAAGAGAAATATTCAACTCACATCTTTACAAACCATTATACAGACCATAGTTGACACAAACACTAATGATCTTGGGGTCAGAATGACAAAGACCCAGCCCAGGGTGTTTTCTTGTTTCTGACATTACCTCACGCTCTTGGCCATGGCTGCTGACCTCCAGGGCACTGTGCCAGAGATACCTTTTGTGTTTTTATTCCGTTTCTGGTTTCCTGGTAGCATTTTTTTTTTGCCTCTGTTTCATGCAAAATTCCATTATTTGCCAAATACACTTCAGTTGACTATGACTTTTATTTTTAAATAGGCAAAGTCCTGTTGTTTGTACTCCTATTTTTATTAAATTTAAAAAGAATTCACAACAAAATTATTAAATGCTGTTAAGCTCAACAGACCTCAAAAAGTATGGCAAAGACTTGAAAATAGACAAGAAGAAACAAAGAAATCTATTGTGGTGTCTTCATCATGAAAACGTTATGTTTTAGGCAGAAGTTTGCTTTTGTGAAGAAGAAAAATTTTAATGAAGAAAACAACACTTTATAATAAAATCTACAGAAAAATCTGTACCTGGTGGTTCATTGCAATGTAGTGAGACATTCAAAGAAAAGCACGCCAAGTTTCCCATGCTCCTGGTGGCCCTTTTCAGCCCACTGCAGCAGTTAGGGCTTACTCAGACTTTCCCACGAACAGCCACCATCTGCTTGATTAGTCCGTTTCCTTGGTATCCTGTCCATTCTTGCTATTTAGGTTTCTCCTCTATTTTAAGAAAGGCACTCGTTAGGGATGGCCACATCTGTTATCACTTGAGAAGTCCACATATTCAAAAGAAATAGATGTGCACCTTGGTGGTTTACTAAGTGTAAGCAGGAAAAGACTCTCTTCAACTTCCTTTCCCTTAAATACTAATAAACCATGGCATGATCTTTTTGTTTGTTTGTTTGTTTTGTTTTGTTTTTTTCCTCAAAGTTTATTAAAATCTAAAAGTCTCCATTTCCGCCCCTCCTCCCAACACCCTCCCACTCCCCCCACTCCCTACCCTCCTCCCTCTCCATCCCCAATAGCAGTCCAAGCTCCTCCCCCCTCCCTCCAGGTCCAGGAAGGTGAGCATCCAAACAGACTGGATCCCAAAAATCCAGTATATGCAGAGGAAACAAGTCCCAGTGTCATTGTCGATGGCTTTTCAGAAAGACTCCGGGCCAGCCACATTCAGAGAATCCGACCTCAATCAGAGAATCTGGCTGGATTACAGGTGCTCGCTCAGTCCCAGATAACTGGCCTTGGTGAACTCTCATTAGATCAGTCCCCTTGTATCAGTGGGTGATCGCACCCCTCGCGGTCCTGATTTCCTTTCTCATGTTCTTTCTCCTTCTGCTCCTCATTTGGACCTTGGGGGACTCAGTCCAGTGCTCCAATGTGGGTCTCCGTCTGTATCGCCATCCCTTGTCGGATGAGGGTTCCCTCTGATCTTGCCTTCCTTGCTCACGTTCTCTTTCCTTCTGCTTCTCGTTTGGACCTAGGGAGTTAAGTCCAGTGTTCCAGTGTGGGTCTCCGTCTCCATCTCCATCCATCGCCAGCTGAAGGATCTATGGTGATAAGCAAAATATACATCAGCATGGTTATGGCCATGGCATGATCTTTAATTTTTCCTCCCTGCTACCAAACCTGTAATCCCATGAATGTAAAATAAGAAATAAATGCTCAGTGTAGGCATTTTTTGATGACAGACATATTATAAACATAAACAGAAAAAAATGCCATCTGCTAAAAAAAAAATGAAGCTAACTGGAGCTAATAATACATAAGAAATATAAAGCCGGTATAGTCTATTCTAATTATTCGGTCTTTAAACAATCTGAAATGGGATGCTGAAAAATGGTATAAATGTTTTCCCCTTTAACTTTCTAGAGAGTACATTCCATATAGATGAGAATCTCTCTCTCTCTCTCTCTCTCTCTCTCTCTCTCTCGCTCTCTCGCTCTCTTCCCACTGTATCTTGAGTATTAGGACACATAGTAAAATCCAGCTCTTTATGTCAGAATCATGAAATGGTTTTTCAAGATTCCCATCCCCCTGTGTATTCATACCTCCTCTCAACTGCATAAATGTGAACTTATATACTGATGTAATGGGATTTTATAGATGTAACTAATACCTAAAATTAGTGACCTTATGATAGGAATATTATGATGATTAGTCTGACTTCATCACGGGAATCTTTAAAAACAGTTTTGTCTGATAATTGTATTAGAAACCACAAAACAATCACTGACGAGCTAAAAGAAAGCGATAGTTGCATTGTAAATACGACCCTGTGTAACAGAGAGCCATGGCCAGGAGCTGAGAGCAGCCCCCAGTCTACCATCAACAAAGCATCAGGGAACTTAGTCCTGCAACTACAGCAAGTGAATTCTGCCAACACAAAAACACACTTGGGCAGTAACTAGAGCCTCAGGTAGTAGAGCCAGTAAAAACATTTCAGTCTGCTAAGACCCAGAACAGAGAGTTAAATAAAAACTCCTATAAGTTTATAAATGTGTGTCCTTTTATGCTGCTGTATTAGTAATGATTTGTGACATAGCAATAAAAATACTATGTTATATCAGATATGTAATACATAATTGTGGAATGAATGGATGCATGAATGATAGTTTAGTATAATGCCTGGTCAAGCTAAGATATTTTTATAACAAGAACAGGTCATTAAACTATGTGGAAAAACAGATTAGTGACTGAAACTAATTCCCATTTTAGGGTAGTGTCAGCATCCCGAGGAGACTGCTCCTTTCCTAACCTTTCTTTACCCTATTGGCAGAATGTGGTTCGCAAGCTGCTAATTGTACCAAGTATTATCAATGCCAGATTCTAATGATACTATATGCAGCTGGATCCAAACAAATGATAGCTACCACATACAACATTCTTGTGGTTTTATGCCTAGATTTTAACAGCTACACATATTGTATTCTTCATTTATAGTGATTTGATATCAGTATATTTTCAAATAAAAACAAAGTACTGATGCAATAGAAAAGAAAAGGTATGTACAAAGATATGCATATAGTAGTCTCTCAAAATTCACAAGGATTGATTTCAAGATCCCTACATATATTAAACTTCATGGATGATATAAAATGATGTAATGTTTGCATATATCCTATGTAATACTTCCATATACTTTAAATCATCTCTAGAATACTTATAATACTTTAGGCACGATTTTTCTATATAAATACCTATACTGTAATGTCCAGGAAATAAGATGCATAACTTATAAACATGGAAGGTTAACTGCATATCTATTTACATTTTATCTTCTAAGAAAGTAAGCTTATATTAAGTACTAGTAAGTACTAATATATTTGTACCACTCAATTCTATTTTGATTAGATGTATACATAACAAACACACATTTTAGTCAAAGAGACAGATTATTTCACTTAGAATAGTTGGACTGTTGTGTTTCTTTCTCTTTCTGAGACAAAGTCTTCCTACATAGCCTCTTCCAACATTTCCCCAGCCTTGGAATTACAGGAATGTGCCACTATGCCTGGCTAACTTTTGGTCATAACAGTTATTTATTTCTATGTCATTACTTTTCTAGATCAGATTGAGTGATAAGACTTTCACAAAGCTAAGCAACCAATAGTTCTAAATAGTTGTGACACCTATGAACTACAATGACAAGCATGGCAGGTTATCTCTAAGGGTGTAATACTTATTGATTTTAGTGGTCTATTTGGATTTATAGCCTGCTGAACAGGAGATAAATCTTGCCTGGTACGAGTAACAAAGCCAACTTCCCCAGGTTATTGACACCATGGATTCGGGAAGAAAACCTACTACCTCCTTTTTACTAAAGCATTATATTCCTAACTGCATTCTAATACTCATCCTTACAGCCACAGATAAGCGAATCTCTCACGCAGCATCAAAGAAGCTTCCCTTTGCCGCAGATGGAGACTTAGAGAAAACCACAACTGGTAAAAACGCAGACAACATCTGATAATGTGGCTTCTGGCCCCAATGGCTATACAACAAGAGAGCTCCTACACATAAGGCTCAGAGAACAACATGGAAAAAGTTCCGGAGAGAGAACGATTATAAGAAACATAGGGTGAGGAAACGTATGCGATCCTATGCACTGCCTTCCGGTGGATAATCCTTTTGTACACTGCATTAACATATATCGTTATGATTGGTTTAATAAACAAGCTGACCGACACTGGCCAATAGCTGACAAGATAAAGCAAGGCAGGAACGCCAAACAGAATGATGGGATGAGGAAGGGAGGAGTCAGAGGAATCGAAAGCCAGACGGAGACCGAGTCAGAGTCGCCAGCCAAGTCGGAGGATCAGTCGAGCTGGCCGTGCTGAATAAGGATAGAGGTAACCACCACCTGCCTTGGGGTAGCACATAAATTGATAAAAATTGGTTAGTTAGTAACAAGCCTGAGCTATTGATCCAGCATTTATAATTTATACTAAGCCTCTTTGGGAGCAGGCGGTCGGGATGGAAAAACTCCGCCTAAACATGGCGCCTAATGTTCAGGACATTTACACGGAGCCTAAAAAAGGCTTAAAAAGGGGTTCTAAAACTACAAGGAAATGTAAGTGTAAATGTAATATAACTGTAAGTTTCTTGGTAACTGCCTTCCCTTCGGTAGACTCTGTTTGTGGCAAACAGAGGCGTGGCTCCTTTGGAACTCCGCTTTTGTTTTTCTGTTTGTTTTTGTTTTTTCGAGATAGGTCTTCTCTATGTTATAGCCCTGGCTGTCCTGGAATTTGCTCTGTAGGCCAAGCTGACCTCAAACTCACAGAGATATGCCTGCCTCTGCTTTCCGAGTTGGGGTTAAAGGCATAAAGATGCAGTTTCTTTAAGACGTGGCATCTTTATCCGCGCATATTTTTTAAGATGCGGCATCTTTATCTGCGGCCTCTTTAAGACTCGGCTTCCATGTGGTCTCTTTAAGACACAGCATATTTTTCCTGCAGCAAATTTTTCCATGGCCTTTTAAAAAAAATTTTACTGATTTTTATTCAGCTCTACATTTTTCTTTGCTGCTCTGCCTGCCTTTCTCCTCCCCTTCAACCCTCTCCCAAGGTCCCCATGCCCCCAAATTACTCATGAGATCTTGACTTTTTCTACTTCCCATATAGATTAGATCCATGTAAGTCTCTCTTAGTGTCCTCAATGTTGTCTAGGTTCTCTGGGATTGTGATTTGTATTTTGCAAATCTTTTTTTCTTTGCTTTATGTTTAAAAACCACTTATGAGTGAGTACATGTGATAATTGTCTTTCTGGGTCTGGGTTACCTCACTTAATATGATGCTTTCTAGATCCATCCATTTGTCCATGGCCTCTTTTTGAAGAGAAGGTATCTGTTATCCGCAAAGTCTGCGGCATCTTTATCCGCGGCCTCTTTAAGACGTGGTAAATTTATCTGCGGCCTCTTTAAGACGCGGCAAATTTATTCGCCTCTTTAGGACGCGGCAAATTTATCCACGCCTCTTTTTGAAGAGGAAGAATCCTTTATCCATGGTGTCTTTAAGATGGATCATCTTCATCTGGTGGCCTCTTTTGAAGAGGAGGCATCTTTCTTTCATCCATGGCCTCTTTAAGTCGCAGTAATTTTAACCACGGCATTTTTAACCTGCGGCATCCCAATGCAGCTTTGGATGGCTCTTTTTGAGGTCCTGCTATGGAACATTTAAATGGGATTTATGAGCAGAGTCAAGACACTACTTGGTGACAGTATGAACCCCACAATTGGGGCAATAAATGTGGCTCCTCACCGCTACTTCCACCATGCAGCTAAGCCTGCACAGACCAAGGAGTGGGTGGAGCCAGCTGCTAAAGCCACTGCTTCAGGCCTAGCCACCTCTGCTTAGCTTAGTAATTTAAGACTCACGTGGTCAGAAAAAGATAGAGATATGCAGTAAAGACAGATGCAGATTTAAAGAGCCTTTTTTTTTGTAGCCAGTCTTTCTCTGTCTCCCCAGCCAGATCCCCAATAATGAGAGGGATACTTTTTTATGAAAACTCTTTTAAGCTGCCATGTCAGCTGCCATGTGACTCAGCTTAGTGCGCAGCACTTGTGGGATACTGTAGGACTAAGAAGGCACGTCTGGTTCTGTGTATGTGGAAATGTGTGCCCCCACACTGGACATCATTTATTGTATAGTTGTTTTATAGTATTAAAACAGTACTCACTGTGAATTCAGGGGGGTTTGGAAGTCAGGTGGATCCACAAAGATGCTCGGGTAGAACAAACAATATCACCTGAACTAGATAAGGAGCTGAATGTTAAAGCAGAGGTGGGTTTCTGAAGGTGCTTCAGGCCTTATGTAAGCCACTGCTCACATGCACAAAGAACACCTGTGGAAGGAGCAGAGCAAGTGGATGGGAACTGGAATCCAACCCACTCTCGGCTCTTTGCTGAAGCCATTCACTCCCTTTTACTTTTTCTTCTACCTTAACACCTTGACAAGAATTCAAGACACAGAAAGGAACCTGTGTAGTTCATGGTCAGAGGGAAATAATTGGCAAAAAAGAAACAACTTAGAAATAATGAAGATGAAAAGTGTCTGATAATGAAAAAAAATCTGCCAAATACAAAAAAAGAGTGCATAAATATAGACATTAGTAGACATAATTTTTATCCTTTACTCTTTCAAAAGAATATTTTTTATATTTGAAGTTTTTATTATATATTTCATATTATATATTTTATTATTTATTTTATATTTAAAGAATAATTTTTATCCTTTACTCTTTCAAAACAGTACTTCTTATATTTAAAATTTTTATTATATATTTTATACTATATGTTTGACTATATTTATTTTATATTTTAAAGACTTTATAATAAGTTGGATGTTCTAGAAGGCTCTTAATTTCTTTGAAGGTTGCTTTACTGCATCAAAGATCAAATTATTCTTTTAATTTTTCCATAATAATTAGGTTTTATAAATCTTTATTCTTTTAATTTTTCCATAATATTTAGGTTTTATAGATCTTTCTAAATTAGTAGGATTCATAAAGTAATCTCTGAATGAGAATGACCGCCATTGGCTCATATGTTTGAATCCTTGGTCCCCAGTTGGTGGCACTATTTGGGAAAGATTGGGTGGAGTGGCCTTGCTAGGGGAAGTGTGGCACTAGGGGAAAGGTAGGACTTTTCAAAGCGCTGATTCCACTTCCAGTAGTATTCTGTCTTCTCCTTGCAGCTCCCAGATGTTCCGGCTGCCACACCTTTGCTCAGACATTATGACCTCTAAATTTCTAAAACTGTAAGTCAAATTAAATTCTTTTATGAGTTGTCTTGGTCATGATATTTTCTCATAGCAATAGACAAATAACTAACACAAAAGTTGGTATCAGGAAGAGGGCTATTGCTGTAATCTGACTGTGTGGTGTGGTCTTTGGAGGAATGTGGAAGACTTTGGAACTTTAGTAAGAAATGTATTTGGACTATGTGAGTGGAGCTTAGTGGGCTATCCTAGAAGGATCTTGAAAGATAGTAGGGGCTGGCAGCAATGTGTTCTGAGGCTGTGAAGATCAAGAGTTTTTAGAGGGCAACAATGTTGTGACTGAGCTGGAGATCAATGCTGCGGCAACCTGGCCCTTATCCTAAGGATCTGTTAGAGGCTAAATTGAAAAGCAGTATACTAATTTCTTTGGTAGAAGAATATCCTCCTGACCCACCAATGAACAGTGCCGAGGAATGGAAGTTGAATTTGAGATTCAGTAGAACCATGGGACTTTATGTGAACTGCTCAAGACCTCTTTACTGGGCTTCTCTGAAACTTTTATTCCAAGATAGCTAAAGTTTCAAAGCAGGGACCGGAAAGCCATGATAAACATTCTGAATAATTCGCATTACTTTCATCACATCTGCTCAGGGTGCAGAAAGTCTCAGCCTTCCCGATTCCTCACCTTTTGAAATGGTAATGCATATTGTGTCATTGCATGTTGGAAGTATGTAATCTGCTTTTGACTTTTCAGGGGGGTTACCATTAAGATGTCTCAGGAGAGACTCTGGACCTTTAAACAGTATTGAGACTGAAGGGCTATGGGGACTTTTGATGTTGGAATAAAGGTATTTGCATCATGACATGGCTACAATCCTGTGGGAGCCAGAGATTGGAATGTGGTGGTTTGAATAAGAATAGGCTCAAATACTTGAATGCTTGTTTTCTAGCTAGTGGAACTGTTTGGGAAGGAGGAGCTATGCCGTGTCACTGGAGCCTGGCTGTGAGGTTTCAAAAGACTCCTGACACTCTCAGTGTGCCCCCTCTCTGCCTCCTACGTGCAGTTTAAGATGGAGCTCTCCGCCAGTTCTGCCACCATACGTTTGTCCCAACATCATGGACTCTAATTCTAAAACAAAGCCTGGTTAAATGCTTTCTTTTATAAATTGCCTTGGTCACAGTATTTTTTCATAGTGATAGAAAAGTAACCTAGCCTGTGCCCCTTCAACATTATAGTTTCAAGACATGCTCCTAATTAGAAAATGTGTTCTGAGGAATCATAATGGAGGTCAACAAATGCAGTGGGGGATATCAGGGTTGGTGGTAATACTGGCTTCTTCAGCGGAATGTTTTGACATTAGACAAATATACAAACCAGTTGGGATAGCCGAGAATGTGCGTAGACACAAACCCACTTTGGAATTCCTAAACATAGTTATAAGCAATCTATTACTTCTCACTTAGCTGCCCCATCAACAAGTTTTCACATATTTGTATAAACACATTCAGGTTCTCTGCTGTGCTCAATGACTGAGTCAGGATTACCTTTTTTATCTACTTGATATACAGAAGATACAGAAATAGTTAGGAGTGTATTATATTAATATCTGATTTAATAATGAAATGAGAACAAATATATTGTAGACTTTCAATATCTCCTCATGAATGCCTTTCCTAGGTTTTTATTATCATTAAATACATTTATTAATACTAAATGACCCAAACAATTTTTGTAAAATCACAGATATAATCAGTTATTTTACTGAATGTAAAAACTGTTCTGCCATCCAGCACCTTTAATACTCTCTGTGAATTTAATTAAGACGGTTTACTTCCCTTTGTTACATGATGTTACACAAGTCCATACCTAACACCAGTTCCTGCAGAATGTTTGTCAGTTCCCTCTCCAAACAAATACTTTAGTGTTTAAGTAAAAATTGTTCTTCAATTTTTGACTCATGAAGCTTCAAGAACTTTAGGGACTTACAAGAAAAAGAAGCCATAGAGGCGCAACATGAAACAGGAAGTAGCAGGGGAAATGTGAGGAAAGTAGAAAAGGAAAAGAGGGCAAAGACAAGACTAAAGGAAGTAGGAACATTAAATAATTTTGGGCAAACTATGTTTTGGTCACAAAACATAGAAGACATTAGAGATTTAAAAGAGTAGGGGCTGGAGAGATGGCTTAGCAGTTGAAGGCATTGACTGTTCTTCTAGAGGACCTGGGTTCAGTTCCCAGCACCCATATGGCAGCTAGCAACTATTTGCTACTACAGGATCTGAAGTCCTTTTCTAACCTCCATGGAAAACACACAGTGCCTTCTTCTGGACTCTGCAGATAACACATGCACCTGGTACACAGTCATGCGTGCAGTCAAAAAAAAAAAAAAAAAAGGAAACCCCTCATGCATATAAACTGAAATATTCTAAAAGTGAGTTGCCTGGCACTGCAAATAGGAATAAATATATATTCTACATTACTCTCACACACACAAACACACACAATTTACAAATAGATATTCTAGTTCCTGTCTGCTAGTATGAAATTTATTTCCAAAGAGGTACGGTGATGTTTACAGTGTTTATTTATGGTTTTAAAGAATGAAGCTCTGTTTAAAAGCTGTAAGCATATCCAGAACTGAGCTAGGGGAAAAGGTAGACAATGGGTTTTTTCTATAGCAAAGTTTTCTAGTTACATATACGTAAAAGTAACTGGGAACAATATGGAAGTGTGTAAGAGGTATCAGGCTGTATTAGATATTGATAAATGAGTGCTTCAGAAAAGGAGGAGGTAGGTTTGTGATTAGAGAGCCTGACCAGGATTTTCAGGAAGATGCCATTTGAACATATACCAAGGAAGACGGTAAGGAGAGCTGTCACAGATAACCCAAGCCAGTTCACAACCTAACTTCTGTCTCCGATGGTGGTGATGAGGTTTAGAGTTGGAGAAGTAGAATTTATATACCACAGGTTTTTAACCTCTGGCTTTGAAGATAGTTGGTTTGTATTTGTGCGTCAGGCATTCAGTAGGCACAGGTGGGATTTTAGTTTATATTTAAAAGAAAATCTGTTGTAAGGAGGCCACTGTAAGAAGCAGTATTTCATCATTATTATTTTAACGATCATGGATCTGCTTCATTTTGTTCTCATTTGCTAACTGTTTTAGAATAGTATAGACCTTAGCAAACCAATACCCACATCTTACCTATCCACCTAATGAATGACAAAGTGCCGCCTTAATTAGCATGTTGTAGTATAGATAAAAGTTCTCAAGTTTAAGGGTGTTGACAATCACTGGAAGGACTCATTTAAACACAAATGGTGCATTTTCTAATTCAGAAAGGCTAAGATGAAAGTTTCTTACAAGTTATTGGTCATAGTTCTACCTCAGGGTAGAACTAGTCCCTTAACTAACTTACCTTCACCTCCTCAGCTGACACGCCGAAGTGGCACACACCACTATTTGTGTTGGATTGTTGCTAACGACAGCATGTACCGGAATACTCAGACTGACGGTGGGAATGTCCTGCGAGTACGCTGTCATCTCCTTTAACAGTACCCCCACCCCCTTTTCTCTGGTACCTCAACCTCTTGTCATCTTCAACAGGTTGGTTTGGTCAAACTTCCCAGAGAATATACAATCAGTATTCAGCGGCATTCAACCTGACATTCTCGAAAAGGTAGTACGGTCCATGAATCCTGAAGGACAAATTCCTAAAACAGATAATTTCAAATAGTCAGAATGACCTCTTTATATGAATTCCTATGAACTATCCGCTCTCTGTATCATCCAGCTCTATATTCATGTGTGGCACACACCTTATATGAAAACATTTAGGAAAAAATTGCACCTGTGCTGAATGGGCACTGTTTGTGCTCTTCTTCCTCAACAGTAATTACATAAAGAAATTTAGGTCATATTAAGTATTGAAAATTACCTATCAATGATTTAATATATGGGAAAGTATGCACAAATTCTATAAGAAACTAAATCATAATCATGTCTTGGAACTCACCAGAGCTCTGGAAGTTATCCCCACGGAACGCTAAAAGATAATACCGTGTGTGTGTATGAATTTATATACACACACATACATAAACAAAACCTTTCCCTTGGCTGCATGAAAGGTGACATCGATCTGTGTTTGGTAATTTTGGAAAGTTCAAACTTTGATATGTCTTGCAGAATCCTGCATCCAAACTAGGACAAATTACATTTATGATTTGTTTTCTGTGGCACTTCTTTTCACACTTCTTTCCTATCTGCCTTGCAAACGTGCAGAGAGAAGGCCCGTAAAGGGAACTTAAGTATATAGTGGTAGCAATCTGGCTCTACCTCTGTTTCAACCTTCACAGTTACCTCTGGATCCTTTCACCATTTTTTTTTTCTCTTGACTCCCAGATTCTAGGTTTGAATTATTTATACCATTCAACGAAAAGGAATAAGCTAGGACTCCTTTGACCTTCGTTGCCGATGGCACCGGAGGCTGAGACCATTTTTTATAAAAAGTTAGAAAGTAGGGAATGGACTTCCTGGCATCATCTTTTCCTTTCCTCTGCCTCCTCGTCCCTCCAGTCCCTCGGGCCTGGAGATTCTCGCCCCATTAACAAACAAAGCCGGGCGAGGTAGCCCCTTGGCGTGAAGGGACCGCGCCACGCGTCGCTCGCGGCTGGGTTGGCGAGCGTGCCACGCCTCCGA